CTGCCTACCTTTCTTTTCTTTCTTTCTTTTTTTTTTTTTTAAGATTTATTTATTTACTTGAGAGAAGTCTTCCATCTGCTGGTTTACTCCCCAGATGGCCGCAACGGCTAGAGCTGCACCAGTCTGAAGCCAGGAGCCAGGAGCTTTTTCCAGGTCTCCCACACAGGTGCAGGGCCCAAGGAGCTGGGCCGTCTTTGCTTTCCCAGGCCACAGCAGAGAGCTGGATAGGAAATGGAGCAGCTGGGACTCGAACTGGTGCCCATATGGGATCCCGGCACTGCAGGTGGCTGCTTTACCCGCTATGCCACAGCACCAGCCCCCCTGCCTACCTTTCTGTGCCAGTGTGCACTACCTCAAAATCTCAGCTTCAGACCAGCTCTCAGCCCCACCTCTCTAGGCATCACCTGTTCCATGGGGCACAGGAGTATGCATATAAGACCCCCTGCTCATTCCTCCAGACTTCTGGGAAAGCCCGCTCAGGCCGGAGCACAGCATTGTGCTGGCATCAGGCTTGGATCGGAGACTGCACCGTCCATGGGAAGAGTCGTGTTGCTGCCTTCCGCTCACTGGCTGGCGGGAGGGGGACTGCCACAGAGGACAAGCCTTGATCCCTGATTTGAAAGGCAGAGCTCTGCTGGACTTCTGTGGGCAGTGCTGAGCAGTAGCTCCATGTGCCCAGCAACGTTTGATAAAAAGTTCCTTGGAGGTTTTAAAAAGATGGCTCTAGTGAGTCTCTGTACAGCCCAGTGAGTGATGAGAACAGGAAGTTTCCTGCTGTCAGCTCTCTGTGCCTTCTCTGCTTGTCCACCACGTGCTGTGAGGTAGTCCTGGCCGGTCAGGAATTTATACATAAGTACTTGTGATTTGATCTGGTGGATTCATTTATTCACATCTTGCCTTAAAGGGACGGATCGGTGAGGGAAGACTATAATAATTCCTGAAAGTTTTCGCATAATCTTATGCACCCTGCTCCCTGAGGTCAGTGTTGTATTTCCCAGCTGGTATTGTTGAATCCTGGTGGGTGTGTAGGAAAGCAGGGGCCAGGGTTCAGGGCGCAGCTTATGGAAGCCACGACCTGCCTTAGAATCCTGGCTCTGCCCTGTGGCTGTAACTTAGCTTCCTTGTGCCTTGATCTCTTGGTCTGTCTGGAGATCATGTGGGAGACCCCTCTCAGCAGCAGTGAGTGTGCGTGTCCTCTGGGGTGCTGGACACCTCTGTGCTTCTAGAAGGGAGGAGTAACCAGTACATTTTTTTTTTTTTTCAAGATTTGTGGTTTTTTTGAAAGAGATACAGACAGATTGGTGAGAGGGTGTGGCACAGTATCTTCATCCGCTGGTTCGCTCTGGCCAGGGCTGGGCCAGGCCAAAGCCAGGAGCCAGGAGCTTCTTCCAGGTCTCCCACATTGGCGCACGGGCCCAAACACTTGGTCCATCTTCTCTTGCTTTTCCCAGGCCATTAGCAGGAGCTGAATCGGCAGTGGAGCAGGTGGGATATGGACTGCCGCGCATATGCTCTGCTGGCAGTGCAGGTGGCTTGACCTGCTATGCCACAGCTCTGGGCCCCGGTGCACTTTTGATTTGTTTATTTCTTCCTGCAGTTTACCCAGCACCTGTCCCCTTGTTAGGGCCCTGGATTTGGGGTAGAACAAGATGCATCTGTACACTGCCTACATATTAGGTAGTCATGGCTGTCGGAGGGGGTCACCAGTATCACCAAAAGACAGCTGTTTCTTATTGAGTGGCAGTGCAGGGGAATAGCATAGTACAGGGCTGCCCCACTGGGGTCAGATTCTGACACCTGTGTTTGGTTCCCATGCGCCTGGGGCAGGTGTGTGCCTCAGGTGTCTGTCAGCTGTGGTGGCTCAGGGACGGTGAGCCACACGGGAGCTGAGGACCCATGAGTATCTCCCTCGGAGTGTGACAGCCCTGTGAGGACATTCTTCCCTCAGGCCTCGTCTTTCCCAGCTGAGTCCACTCCTTTGCCTCCCAATAAATGCTGCTCGCTTACAGAACCTTGTCCAGGGAGCTCTGCACCAGCCAGGACTGTCCCTCCCTGAGTGTGCCAGCCCTCTCTGTCACAGGTCCCAGCTTGGAATGACTTGTACCGAGTGTCTTCTCATGACACAGTGCTGTAACCACCTTGATGGTGAGCTGTTACTGTGTGTCCTTGTGCCTGTGGCATGCAGGTAACGCTCACTGAATGCACTGAATGAATGAGTGGAATTAAAGGACATTTAGTATACATGCTACTAGTTCAGAAATCTGTTGGTGTGACTTTGGTTGTAGAATCAGTGGTTTAGGGTTTTAAGTGCTCTTGACCACTGTGGTTTTTACTGGACTGTTTCTCTGCTGTTGAGGTGCTGAGGTTCAAGGTGATGGCTGCCGGTGGAGGGCTCCAAGTGCTGGCTGTACTTGCATGTTTGGGATGAAAGCCGTGTTCATTTCCAGCAGGTATCTCCCCTCCACTCCCCGCCCCACCAGCTGCCCCCAGCCCTGGCCCCAAGGAGGGCTTTGAAGCTGGTGCGGAGCAGCAGACGTGCAGGGCCTCACTGGGAGCGCTGGGCATTGTGGACGGGGTCCTGCTCACCTTTCTTTCATCTCAGCCATCTCTTCTAGCACTGTCACTCACCACAGCTGTCCTCCCGTGCCAGACAAACCAGTCAGCCTTTAGGAAACAGATGAGAAATCTAGAAATGTCCCAGGTATTTGCCACATTTTAAAGAAGATTCTTAGGAAATCTTTGGATTCCAAAGGCAGCGTCCTGTGCCAGGGTGTCTCTAGCGCTTTTGCTTCTGAGGTTGGTAGCTTTCAGAAAGACTGCATTGCAGCAGCCAGAGAGTTCCGGCTACCGTGGACACAGCCATGGTGAAGTCTTCTCTCCTTCACAGTTGCTGGCTCTTGCCTGCAGTCTGGAGGAGGAGATAATGCCAGTGGTGTTCCCTGGCCCTGCAGTCCAGCGCCGAGTGCTAGCGGATTGAGCGTGGGGTGGCGCTGCGAGTCACGGCTGCGTGGGCCTCCCGGAGCGTGAAGCTGAAGATGCCGTTGCGGTTTGTGCGTGGTGATTCTGTTTTCATCTCCATGTTCAGACTCTGAGGAGGTGAGGGGCTTTAAACATTCTATTCCTGGTCCAGGTGAAGAATTTGAACAGATGTCTCTGAGCCTGAGAGATGCAACTTTATTTCTTGTTAATGTCAGTTTTGATGTTTGAAGAATTAGTGTTGACAGGTGCCTTCTGAGTGCATTCTTCAAGCTGTCCTTTGACCGCACACAGTCAGATTGGACAGGTGTAGGTAGGGAATAACGTGTGTGTGTGCTTGATGCACACAATGGCGGTTTCATTAACGTGGCAGGAAGCAGGTTACATTTTACCAAGTCTCAGCCCTGGGCAGAAGTTGATGAAGTCTTAATTTCTTAAATTCTTATTTTGCTCTCAGGGGAGCATTTTGAAAGTGTAGAGCTCTATGCCTGTCCGTGGAGGAGCTGGGTACCGCCTCCCCGTCCGTGGGGGGAGCTGGGTACCGCCTCCCCGTCCGTGGGGGGAGCTAGGTACTGCCTCCTCTGGTCCTCATTGTTTATCTAAGCATCAGAACTCAGGTTTATTTTGCTATGAATTGGTGGCCCCAAACTGTTTTAAATACATTATGAGTGGTAATTTATATGTCCATTGCCAAGGAATAGAATGTCTCAGTTACCATGGTAACTGCATGCATTTAGAAAAGCTTGTGAATGAGTTCTGAACCTTGTGCGTTGGAAGTGAGGTTTTCCAGCTGAGCGCCTGCTCAGTGATTACTGCAAACAAAGTCGGCTTTCCATGGGAAGTGCACCCTCCCTCCGCGTTTGTCAGGGCTGTTCATTCAGCTCAGTCCTTGCACTGGTGATGTCTGCCTGGCCTCTCGGTTCCTGGCCACAGACTGTTAGCGAGAGGTTTTCAGTGTTAGATTGGGCAACTGGCCTGTAGAGTGCAGAGTCCTGCTACCTCCTGTGGGCCCTGTGCGGTGGGGCGGGTGACACACGGGATCCCCAGAAGCGTGGCTGCAGCCCATTTGCCAGTGTAGCCTCGCAGAGCTTTCTGGCCATCTGACAATCTTTCCAGTAGCTCGTCTAGGGCTCCAGAGAGCCCGGCTTCCTCGAAGGCACTCCTGCCTCGGTGGTTGGTTTTTGGGAGGGAGGTCCACATTAGAAAGACCCATGCTCAAAATGTCAGACTTGTGAAAATAGCGAGGGCCTATGGTCTTCATCATGGAAGAATTTTGCTTGTTGTTCTTTGGAAATGTGTGTGACTTAGTGTCTGAAAACCAGCTCCCTTTGTGCATTTAAATCATATTGATATTTTGATTGTACGGGACGGAAATGTTTGTAATCTTATATGGCCTGAAATCCGAGGTCTGGAGCTGGGTAGAGGCTGTGAAAGCCCCAGGGCTGACGTTGGCTTCTGACCTAGCAGCTCCTGATGGAGGACCTGCCAGGATTCCAGGGAGCGTTTTTATGTTTGTATAGAATTCATGCTCTTTTTAAATGAATATTCAGGTCTGAGTTTAAACTATAATTTGAAGCCAGACCAACCTTTTAGTATATGCCCATGAGCACTTGACGATGGCTCATCTATAGGCTTCCATTAAGAACCCTCAGGACGGTCGGCGTTGGGATGTGGTGGGTAAGCTGCCAGCTGCGGTTCCGCTCGGGAATGCCTTCTGAGTGCTGCTTTGTGTCCTGGCCACCCCACTTCTGATCTAGCTCCCTGCTAGTGGACTGGGAAAAGCAGCGAAAGATGGCCCAAGTCCTTGGGCCCCTGCCAGCCACGTGGGAGACCTGGATGAAGCTCCTGGCTCCTGGCTGCGGCCTGGCTTAGCCCTGGCCGTTGCAGTCACGTGGGAATGAGGCAGGGCATGGAAGATTTCTCTCTCCTCCCGTCTCTTCCTCTCTCTCTGCAAATGCCTCAAATAGACAAATGAATCTATTTTTAAAAAGAATTCTGTGTAATTCAGACCTTTTATTTTACAGATGAGGAAACTGAGGCCCAAAGAAGTTACGCCACTTGGTTAAGGTCCCAGAGCAGGTCAGAAGCAGATCTGGATCGGAATCCTGGCTCCTGGCGCTCTGTTCTCGTGGGGATCACTGTCCTGACAGAAGAGGTTTGCTCTCACTCTTTTGTTTCCTTTTGTCAGAAAGAGGCTTTTTGTAAAAGACCCCTAATTTAGAGTTTGACAGACTCCTTTCTTCTCTCTGTCATTTATTGAACTTGTCAATGTGCTGGATATAAGAAAAAAGAGAGGAGACAGAATATGAACTCGCAGCCAGACCGAGTTTATTCAAAGAAAATAAACTCACAGAGGTTGACCAACTGCCAGTGTGCACACAGACTGAGCGTGTGGCAGAGGCCCAGACCCCGGGGCTGGGTTGTTTTATATCTTAGGTGGGCTGGGGGTGGGGTTAGGGGACGGTAGGCAGAGGGGAGCTTCTCCACGCAGGGTTTTCAAGTTTGGCCTGCTGGCTTCCAAACCTGGGGAAGATTGCAGGGGGTGGGGTGGGAACAGTAGAGTGTGAGACTGACTTGGGGTTCAGGGACAAGGGATAAATTCCGATTCTGTCTTTCGGGCAATGAGCTAGAATGGCTGAGGCTTATGTCCTTGTTCCATCACTGGAGGTATCCATGTGAGGGCAAAGGCTCGGACGTCTGCCCCCCGACTGGGCGGGGCGTCAGCACGGCCTGCAGCGCCAGAGCAGATTCTGGCCGACACCTGCAGGCACTTCTGCTCTCTGTGGTATTCTGTGTTCTGCGAGCAGCTGCAGTGCCCAGCGGTCACCCAGAGGTGACCTTGAATCATCACCTGGTAAAGCAAGGTCACAGCACTGCGCTTACTAAGGCAGGGCGGCTTAACAACTTGCTTACTACGAGTAGTGAGTGTCAGCTTACCAAGGCTGGAATACAGATGGTCACTGTGGCCGATTCTACTTGTTAGTTTTCCAGTCATCAAGGAAATTGAGATTATATTGTAGAACTCACTTAGGGTGACGGATTGCATTTTACTGATGGGTCTCAGAGGTATGTCCCGTCCTCCTCACGTGGGACTTTGATGAACGTGTGGGTCTCCGTTCCTTTCCTGAGAGCCTGTGCTGTGTTTGTGACTTGCCTCACCCAATCACATGGCAAAGTGCTGCTCTAACGTTTCTGAGTTGAGTGCTAAGAAAGGTGTCGTGTTCTTGGCTTCTGTTTTGGGATATTTGCTGTGGGGAAGGCCTGCTCCCTGCTGAGAAAGCCCTTGTGCCCGGCGTGCAGCCGAGGAGCTGTGCGTGGGACCAGAGCAGCCGCCTGGCTTGTGAGGGAATGACCCTTTGGTGATTCCACCTTTGCTGCCTTCCAGCCGAGCCTCAGACACGGGAGCAGAGGTTGGCCGCCCCCTCTGTGCCTTGTTCGGGTTCCCACTGCCTTTGGGATGACGTATTGTCTAGCTGCTTACTAGATTCCGTAATGTTTTCATTCAGCAGTAGTAGATCTCGTACTTTATTAACATGCTAGAGATAGAAGACATAAGAAATTGGGACTTTTTGGTAATCACGTAACATTTTAAAATTTTCATTATTTAAAACTTTGGGATAATGTGCTTGCCAGAAACCCTACCGTGTTACAGTGCCCTGTTCAGTGGTTGTCGTCATCACCGCTGCTCAGTTCCAGCGCGTTTTCCCCATGGGAGGTAAAAGGTGAAAGGTTAGGTCATCATGCCTTATGTGGAGCTGTGGTCCGTGCGTATCTGGAGAGCGTGCAAGAGCCAGGTTGGTGCCCCGACGTTGGAGTTTGGCTGCAGGTCGGCTGCAGCTCTGATGGGTGAATAGGAGTTGATGCTGAGACTTTGGGAAGAGGTGAGCTTTAAGCTGGGTCTTCATGGAGTGGGAAATAGGGAAGAGTTTGAGCACAGCCCACGCTGCAAGTCGCGAGGTGTCTGGCAGGTCTTCCTTTGGCTGCACGTGCTTCCCTGCCGCCTGTGCAGGCACTGATGCTCTGTCTGCCCTGCCATGATTCCAGCTGCTCATTCCCACGGATACAATGCTGAAAGTGACATGGGGGAGCAGAAGCGTGGCCTTAAGAGGAGGGGGCTGCCACCAGCCTGGACTGGGGGTCCCCACACTTCTTTTGTGAAGGGCAAGATAGTACACAGTTGTGGACAGTTCTGTTTGTCTGTTTTGTAGAGACCATGTGAGCTGTGTTCCAGTGAAACTTTAATTAGAAAATGGTGGGCTGCAGTTTGCCAGCCCTGGCTGGATGAGCACGCCTGTGCCCCTTGCACCGTGTGTGTGTGCTGACACATGAGCTGCTGCTCTCGTCGCCTGTCTTCTGCTTAGCTGTCATACCAGTTGACAGGAACGCAGGCCGGTGGTACTGTGCTGATTCTTGGAGTGGTTGGACATTCTTACAGCACCGCACCTGCTGCTCCTGAGCTGAAAGGTCTATGGGGCAGGGTGCACATTTCACGTTGTTTTTCCTTCTGCTTAGCCTGTAGCAGGAACCTAGTAAACGTCTGAATAACTTCGGACTTCCTGGAAAGTACTAGGACCGTCACAGATTAGGGGGTGGTTGGCAAAGATGACAGAGAAGGAATAAGGCCAGTGCCCGGGCCCGGTGGTGCGTGCGCCTGTTGCTCAGTGGGCACGTGGTAAGATACATGATAATCTGAAACTCCAAGAGGGAGAGCAAGAATTTGGTCTTCCCTTTAGCCTGTGCAGACAGCCCAGGACAAAAGCATTGTTACACTGAGTGAGAGAGAATTAAATCCCCTCTTAAGAGAGGACACTATCAAAAGAGTCTTAGAAATACCTTTTCCGGTGAAGAAAAGTGTTTTCCCCCTTTTCTCTTCTTTTTATCAGATTTATTTATTTGAAAAGCAAGGCGAGAGAGAAGGAGAGCTCTGCCATTTTCAGTTCGCTTCCCAAATGCCCGCAGCAGCTGGGGCCGGTCCAGGCAGAAGCCCGGAGCCCAGAACTCGTCTGGGTCTCTCGTGCTAGCGCCATTATCTGCCGTCTCCCAGGTCATTTGCAGGAAGCTGGCTTTGAACCAGGAGTCCCAGGGAGCGGCTTAACTCACCACCACAACATCAGCCACACTTTTTGCTTTTAAATCTTACAAGATGCTGAACTTTCTTGATAAATGAAGGATTCCATGATCGTGATCCCCTACCTAATGGGCTGACTTACCCAGACCTACAAAGCCTAGCACCTTAATAGACAGCTTAACTTCAGAGTTCCCTGGGTGATTTGTTTTTTATTAAGAAAAATTTTTTGGAGCCGGCGCCGTGGCTCAATAGGCTAATCCTCCACCTTGCGGCGCCGGCACACCGGGTTCTAGTCCCGGTTGGGGCGCCGGATTCTGTCCCGGTTGCCCCTCTTCCAGGCCAGCTCTCTGCTATGGCCAGGGAGTGCAGTGGAGGATGGCCCAGGTGCTTGGGCCCTGCACCCCATGGGAGACCAGGAAAAGCACCTGGCTCCTGGCTCCTGCCAGGATCAGCGCGGTGCGCCGGCTGCAGCGGCGGCCATTGGAGGGTGAACCAGCGGCAAAGGAAGACCTTTCTCTCTCTGTCTCTCTCTCTCACTGTCCACTCTGCCTGTCAAAAAAAAAAAAAAAAAAAAAAAAAAAAGAAAAATTTTTTGGTGGTGGGCAGGACTGGCGCTGTGGCATAGTCCCATATGGGCGCTGGTTTGAGTCCCAGCTGCTCAACTTCTCATCCAACTTCCTGCTAATGCACCTGGGAAAGCAGTGAAGACGGCCCAAGTGCTTGGGCCCCTGCATCCACATGGGAGATCCAGAGGAAGCTCTTGGCTCCTTGCCTTGGCCTGGCTGAGACCCAGCCATTGTGGCCATTTGGGGAGTGAACCAGTGGATGGAAGACATCTCTTTCTGTCTCTCCCTTTCTCTCTCTAACACTGCCTTTCAAATAAAAATAAAATTTAAAAAATGAAATTTAAAACTTTTTTTTCATCTTTGAAAAACAGAGTAACAGAGAAAGAGAGAGGGACTGCAGACAGACACCTGATTCACTCCCCAAAGTGCCTGCAGTGGTTGGTGCTGGGGCAGGCTGAAGCCGGGAGCCTGCAACTCCAGCAGGGTGTCGCATGTGGGTGGCAGGGCCCAGATGTTTGAGGCATCATCTGCCTCCCAAGGCGTGCCTTAGCGGAAAGCTGAATCAGAAAGAAAGTGGCTGGGACTTGAACTGGATGTAGATGTCTCCAGGTGGTAGTTTAACCTGCTGCACCACACGCTGGTACCTAGCATGGTGTAGAGGAGATAAAACCCAGAGGGAAAAATGAACACATTCTTACTGACTGGCTTTCAAGTCCAGATGAGAGGCACTCATCAATTTATGGTGAGTGAAGCAGGTCCTGGTGTTAGAAGTGGGTGATATCCTAGGAATGAATTCAGTGGCAAAATCTCATTAAATTAGAAGAACAAAATTAATTGAAGGAGGATAGTAGTGTCTTGTTCAAAAAAGAGGTGATATTCAATTAAAAGTGACATTTTCACACTTAGATAATCCCTGCATATGTTACGCAATGGCATTTTACAGGCAAATTCGTTAACTAGGAGTCTTTGCAAGGGTCGTCAAACCCTCAGGTTAGAGTTAGCCTCCTTTTTATAGACTCCTGGCAGCCTGTGTTCAGTGATAGGAAATCTGTGTGTAACAAGGTGACTTCTGTTTTCCATGGGGGCAGAAAGGCATGATAATTGTCTTTACCTGTGGGAAGGGTCATGGCTGGCAATCCTGTACCAACAGATAGGTTAAGAGCATGGTGGCCCAGCGCTGTGGTGTATCGGGTAGAGCTGCCACTGCAATGCCAGCGTCGCATACGAGTGCCAGTTTGTATCCTGGCTGTTCATTTCTGATCCAGCTCACTGCTAACAGCCTGGAAAAAGCAGAGGAAGATGGCCAGAGTGCTTGGGCCCCTGCCACCCATGTGGGAAACCTGGATGAAGCTCATGGCTTTGGATTGGCCCAGCTCCTGCCATTGAAGCCATTTGGGGAGTAAACCAGCAAGTGGAAGACCTTTCTCTTTGTCTTTCCCTCTCTCTGTAACTCTGCCTCTCAAATAAAATTAAATAAATAAACAAATAAAAGTGACAAATTTATTTGAAGTTTCATGTGAC